AATCACAGTCACCCCCTTCAGCAATGAGCTGACGGACAAGACCTCTGCTCAGCTGTTATCTCTGGAAACCTGGCAGTTCTTTTACATTTACTGGCCTTTACCACATGGGAGCAAAAGAAAGACATAGTGCTAGCTTTTCTGTAAGAAATTGACTTCCCAGATGCAAATTTCTCATCCTATGATCCCCTCTGTGATATTTAAGACCCTCTCTGCCCTTGCCTTTAATTAATTTCAGATACTTACATGTGAGATTTATAAAACATCCAATTAAAAACAAGCCATCAAGCTGGGTTTGGTAGCCCACGCCTTTAGTTCTAGCAACTCTGGAGGCCGACAAAGGTGAATCTGTGAGTTCCAGGCCAAGTTGGCCTATGTAGTAAGTTTCAGGACATCCAGAGGCACTTCAAGATTCTGTCTCAAAAACAAGCAAACAAACAAGCAAAATCTCCAAGTCATCAGTGTTGTAGCAGATAAATAGCTAAATGAATAAATCAAGTACATCTCAGAAATTGTTTTTGTGTAAAGTCTGTCACTTACAAAGAGCTTGTATTATTACCATGGCTACCAAAACGTAACCTCAATAATCCCAAGCAGTTTCTAAATGCCCTAGTCTCTTTCTGTTTGCTGTGCTGATGAAAAGCAATTTTCAGGGTCCGCACGCTTTCTGGTTATAGTCCATCACAATAGGGGAGTCAGGTGGCAGAAATTTTAACCAGTCACGTCACAACCACAGTCAAGAGCAGAGAAAGTTGCAGGCTTTTATTACTCAGCTCACTCCCTTCTCTTTTAGACAGTTCTGGACCCAAATTCATGGCAAGGTGCCACTCACTGTGGGCTCTGTTTTCCCACGTCAGTTAGTGCAATAAAGACAACCCTCTATAGACATACCTATAGACCAACCTGATCTAGAGAGTGGAGGATGTTCAGGGGATGGCGGTTACCTGACTTTGGTGGAGTGTGGGTTTTTTTCTTTTTTCTTTCATCACTTGTCACTTCAAAATGACTCATAGACAGTGATATGTTTATATGGATCTATATATTTAAGCAACTTAGAACAAATGAGGCCATCCAAACTTAATTTTGTATTTTGTTTCCTTGTGTGTGTGTGTGTGTGTGTGTGTGTGTGTGTGTGTGTATGTGTGTGTGTGTGTGTGTGTGTGGTTATCTGACTACTTCCCGCTTTGGGGATAAGGAGAAAGAAGTAGATTTATTTTCAAGTTGACAGGTAGTTTCCAAGCAAATGAAGTTCTATTAATGTGAAGTTCAGCCACAAAAGGCTGATATTTTCCTTTATGGAAATGGTGCATTGAAATTTTTTATGCTATAAATGTGCATTGAGAACTCACATTATGTGTCAGACCATTTCTGTCTTCCTTACAGACACAATGAGGAGTGTGTCTCCCTGCCTTCCCTCTGATACACCGAGCCTCACCACATAGCCTCCTGGATGTCCAGCAGCACTCCGCCCTAGGAGACTATTTCCCGGGCTGTGTTCTTCACTGACCACGCCGTGGAAAGGATGCTACCTGCTGCTCTGTACTGTCACTCCTGCTTCTTAGTTGGCCTGACACACTGGGACTGCTCATGTATCTGGAAGCAAGAGATGGAAGCTTCAAGGAACTAAAGACCATCTACAGCAGACCAGTCCTGTGCAGTCCTTTTACAAGCCTTAGGAAAGCAACAACTTAGATTTCATCTAACACTTTGGATACCAAGGATTGAAGGAAGCATTAAGAGCCGTGTGATGCTAATAATAGAGTTTTATGATGTTAATGACATATAACTTTTGTGTGACTTTTAATCTAGATTTATTTTCTCAATATACCAAATATATATATAATTTATGACAGCTTATTTTTTTCTCAAAGGAGTATTTAAGGAATAATTTCTTCTGGGTTTTAAGACATTTTGTACTGTGAAATTTTGTACTGTGAAATTTTGTAGTGTGTGTGTGTGTGAGAGAGAGAGAGAGCGAGAGAGAGCAAGAGAGAGCGAGAGCGAGAGCGAGAGCGAGAGCGAGAGAGAGAGAGAGAGAGAGAGAGAGAGAGAGAGAAGGGAATGAGGGTACAAGCATGCCATGACCTGTGTGAAAAGTCTGAGAAAATTCTTTCCCTCTGTCTTGAGAGATCTACAGGGTCTCTCTCATTTCTGCCATGCTGCTTAGTCTAGGATAGCCAGGCCAGGAGTGTTTGAATGAGTCTCTTGATCTCACAGTAGAAGTGCTGGGGTTACAAACATGGCTTCCTGGGATCAAACTCAGGCCTTCAGCTTGTTTATGTGGCAAAGCTGTCACAGTCACTCAGGTGTCTAAGACAACTCGTAGAATTTTTTTAAACTATTATGTGTATTTAATGTACATCTGTGTGCCTGTGCAGAAGCCAGAGATAACCAGAGTAACTCAGCTCTCGCTTACCGTCTTTGTCCCCAGACTGAACTCAAATCATCAGACTTAGCAGCAAGCACCTTTACCTACTGAGCCATCTCATGGGCCTGATCAAGGAACATTAAAATCAAATTAACTTTGATTTTATAGTAAAAAAATATCAGTTTCAGACAGTCATTTTATTGTTTCACTGTGTGTTGAAGAACCGATGAGGAGCTTTAGTGCATGATTAAAAATAGTTGGAATATTGCCAACATGATTGGACTTACACTTGTCAACTTCAGGACAGTGTATCAGGCGATTCTCTCCCTCCCTATAGTGAGCTCCCCAGCCACCACCAACACCACCACGTGCTGTGATCCTTGTGTCAGGCCTGTCAGTGTTCCCCAGGCACAGCTGCCTTCAAGTGTTTAGAACATTAAGTTCCTTCAACACCCCGCTTTTCTGAGCCTGTATTTCATAGAGATGGAGAGGAGGTTTTATTAGCTTTAATATGTGTGGGTGAGTTTTTAATATCAGTGTGCACTGCAATTTCGGTGTGATAACTACATATATGTATGCATATGCATAATCAGAGGTGATCATGTGTTCTATTCCTTACATACATTTTAGTGGGCTTCATGTTTGATCTCATCTTGGAGACAAATACTAAGACTTAAACACACATTCTCTGTTCTCAATAGGCAGGAAGCTGCGTGTCTCTGACTAAGTTACCAAGTCTCTGAAACATTTGTTTCTTCATTAAGCTCTCCCCTATCTATGGACATAGGACTCTGTGTGTAGACCAGGCTGGGCTTGAATGTGCACAGATTCTCCTGGGTGCTAAAATTGCAGGCATCCGCACACTCCCAGTTCATGGAGGATTTAAAGTGTTCTAGTCTTGCTCTCAGATCATGGAAATACTTATGTCTCAGCGTGACTTGGGACTTACTAGTCAGGCTTGGTATAATGTCAGCATGCATCATGGCTGTCGGCCTGTACTCACTGGCCAGTGGCACTTTCTTTGGACAGATTTCCTCTCTGTGTCCAGTGTGCATTTGGAGAAGTGGCAATAACATTCGAAGTCTCATTTTTTGGTGCTCAGGACAGGGCAGGTGGCATCACCTTTGAAGGGCCTAGTCATGCTTTTTGAATCATCTACCAGTTTACCCCTGTGGCAAAGGCTAGCTGTGCTAGGTTACCTCCATAGCAGCATAGATTAGCCCTTCTAGGTTACCTCCATAGCTTAGGTTAACTCTGCTATATTAATCCCCAAAGCATAGGTTAGGTTTGCCATGTTACCCCCACAGCATAGGTTAACTCTGCTATATTACCCCTATAGCTTAGGTTAGCTCTGCATTGTTACCCCCACAGCATAGGTTAGCTGTGCCAGTCCACCTCTAGTGAACACCAGTTTCAGTGCTATGCTGGCTTGAATTTTGTTGAAATTCATCAGTTTTTCTTCCTCTCCCAGATGGGAATGAGTAGCTCTGCTTTCCTGGGTCTTGACTAGCTACACTCTGCAATTCTTCTCCATCAGATTAGAATCAGGCAAGGGGCCCAGAGGATAATTTCTAACCTCTGTGGTGAGTGTTATCTTGCTTCCTAAAACAATGTGTTACTTTACTGGTCCATTCCCTATCAGTTCCTCCAGGGGAGATCAACGGAGTTTCCTCCCTTAAGAAGTGATGACCTATAATCCTGGAGTTCTAAAGAACAGTAGCTGAGTTTTTACAAGGGACTGACTCAACAGCGATTACTGCCCCACACCCCCACCTAGTTCAGTCCTCGAATTCAGTACTTGTTCTTGGTAAAGGTTAAAATATTTTCTTACAATTAGCAAGCCAAAGAGTGGAACTTGAGGTTATCATATCATAAAGAAAAATGTTGATAGTTGTGAATATAAAAAGCTAATCTGAACTGATTTTTATTTTTTTAAATAAATCCATAAACATTCAAGTAGTGGGAGGATTTTAACGTAATGGTTGGGGGATGGGTAGCAATTTTCTTCAAACAAATTCCTCCAGTTTAGAAGCCATGAGAGCACCGGGAGAGCCAGAGTAGCATTTAATAGCAAGAGCAATTGGAAGGCTTTATGAAGGGCCAGACAGTCATTGCTGCTTCAGAGAGGAGAGGGCGCTGGTTTAAATGGTCTTTCTCTGCCTGTGTCACCAATAACTACAGTGGGGAAACAAAGGAAAACAGACAACAGCAAAAACTGTTAGTCCAGGTCTGTGGCTCAGTCTAAAGAGCTTGCCATGTGGAAACCGGAGGTCCTGACTCCAGCTCCCCAACAACCACACAAGACAGGGGAGGTGACAACACTGGTGATGCCAGCAATCAGAGGACCTATGGAGCACCCTGGCCAGCCAGTCACTCCTGGTTCAATGACACTCCGTCTCAAAGCATACGGTGGAGAGCAGAGGTAGGCAAGGGCAGGAGCACAGTTATTCTGGGCTTAGAACCCACACTATCTCCTGTGTAAATTAGCTTTTGTACTTTCAACGGGCTTATGACTGGGGGGAGGGGGGATGTGGGCCGGTCTGAGAAAAGATGGGTGTTCAAGAGGAGCTCACTTCCTGATGAGATGCATATCCCTTGGCATCTCCTTGCAAATGCTTTAAAACTCAGAGGGATATTTAAAGGTGAAAAAAATGTAAAACTTTATTTTTTCAAAGCAGTAACTCATCTCAGTTACATTTAGCTACAGTACAAACAATAGAATAGCACCTGGGAATTTTTCTAAAAGTTCACAAGATCCGTGACACCTTCTTCTTCCCTTTTCGTCTTTCTTCTCGGCTAACCAAGCAAAGAAAACAGAGCCTCCACTTTCTACTCTTTCACTACCGTCCCACCAATGGTCTAATTTTCATCCGCACGGTCCTGAGGGAATAATCTGCTCCTCTGAAGGGAACCCAGACCACCCCGTTCTCTATCTCGTAGGGGCTGTTGTTCCTGGGGTCGTAGGTGCCCCCAGGGTAGTAAACACCGTTGAGATTGGCAGCCTGACAGCTGTTGTACCACCAGCCTCCCCCGTAGATCTCTGCACAGTTCTCTTCCCATTGGTCTGCATCTCTGTCGAAGGTACTGAACTCCATATTGCTGTGTGAGGTGTATTCTGTCCCCTCCTCCACAGAGCCCTCCATCAGAGCATCACCAGCAGTGCCCTTGTAGGAGGAGACCTGCAGTGCATAGCCCTCTGCCTCAGAGCCAACCCGGAAGTGGTACTCCGCATAAGCCTCTTGTCCAGCCCAGTCCTCTAATTCAACTCTGAGGACAGAGCCCCTCAGAGTAAGTAAGTGGAGATAGTCATTGCCTAGCCAGAATTCTCCTTCCCCCTTGTCATTCAGGCTGCCGAAACCTATCTTGTAGTCTTGCCAGGTCCGGTTAAAATTCAGTGATCCATCCATTCTTTGCTGGATCAAAAGCCATCCTCCCAAACTGGTCTCTTGATCGCAATAAACAGAAAAAATCTTACTGGATCCAGGTAGCTTGATACTGAAAATGCCATTCTGGGCACCTGAAGGATGTGTTTGAAGGACATCATCACAGTCTAAAAAAAAAATTAAGCTGGTTGGAGGAAGTTACTCTCATTTAAATATACAAAAACAGGCATTGCCCAGATTAAAGTAGATACTGCCTGCCTTCCTTCCTTCCTTCCTTCCTTCCTTCCTTCCTTCCTTCCTTCCTTCCTCCCTCCCTCTCTTCCTTCCTCTCTCCCTTCCTCCCTCCCTTCCTCCCTCCCTCCCTCCCTTCCCTCCTCCCACAGGAAAAGTATGAACCTACATTGAGAGGTAATTTTTAACAGGTAAGGGATACTCATCCTTTAACAAACTTTCTTCAAATGGATTTGAAATCTTACTTGCACATGCTAATATCAAGTGATAGTTAAAGGTAGCTAGCTAAGCACTCATCAATCAATACTAATAGAACAAAATTTTTAACCTCGTCTAAATGTCAACTGAGACATACACTAAATTTAAGGTTAGTGGGTTGGGTATTCCAATTGCACACATTTTGAATGAATTCGGTTAAACAGAGTCAGAATTGAGTTTCAGCAGAATTTGTTCATTTATTTAAAATGTATTTATTGAGAAATGACTGCACTGTTAGGCATTTGGGAATTACAGAAATAGACACATGGCAAAGTCCCTGCCCCTGAGGAACGTACAGTCTAGTATGAAACACTGACCCCTCCCCCCAAAATGAGATTCCAACAAAACACTAGAGGAAGTTAGGAAAGAGGTGCAGCCTGCCTGGTAAGCACTTTGCAGAAATGGTTAACTTAATCTGGGGGTCAGGGGAATCTCCCAAAAGTTAAGTGTCGATACCTCTCATTGCGCGAGCTTTGGCCTGGCCCCTCTTGGTGGTCCGAGTTTCTCCCTCCTGGTGAGCTTCACTTCCTGCCTCATCTGACATTTTATAGCTCTTGGTTATTTGTTTTCTGACAGTTGAGGTTTTACTACTGGAAGATACATGGGAGCTGGGGTCCTCAGTGTCTGAGAAGATGTCGTAATCAGAGCCTAAAGCATGGGTCTTACTGCCAAATTCTTTGAAGTTAGATGAGAGTGAACCAAAGTGGCTGTCAAAAAAATCAGCATGGTCGGGATGCCTTCGGGAAAGTTCATCAAGCCTGCCACTAAAACTGTGGGTCATGCCTAAGTCAATGGCATCACCACAGTCAGAACCATCATCCGAGGTGACCACTTCTTTGACCTCTTCTCGGCGGCCGTCATTACCTATAACAGTCTTGGTAATGGTCTTAGAGCATGAACGACGTGTAGTGCTTGTGCCAGAAGAGGTGACTTTCTCTTTTCCAATCAGGAGCTCTTTATCTCCTTTAGAAGTGACCAGTTTATCTGTGTGATACTCTTTTCTTGTTGCTGGGCTGCTACTCCCTCCAAACTCTGAAAACTCACCCCAGTCAGGGTTGCTAGGCCTAAAGTTCCCAGAGCCTGAGCCAGGTCTAGAGCTTCCGGTACCCCAGTCTCTAGTGCCATCAGACCCTGTGGTCCCAGGGCTCCGATTTCCATCACTTCCAGACCCTGAGCTCCCAGGACGCCAATACCCAGATCCACCAGATCCAGGACTCGTGGGGTTTTCTGTCTTTGACCCTGGTCCATGTGTTGCAGAGTCTCCTCGCGAATCTCTGCGTGAGTCTCCTCGCGAATCTCCTGGTGAATCTCCTCGTGAACCCCCAGGCCTCTCCAGCTCCATTCTCATCTGCCGCATTTCTGTTAATGCCTTCCACTCTGGAGGGGCCTCCTGAAGCTGGCTCTTAAAACTTCCGGGAACCAAATCGGGAACTGGAAACATTTTTATTGCTGGCAAGTGCTGTCTGTCTTTTGTAGGAAGCAATTCTTTAGCAATGACCTGTTCGAGCTGTTTTTGCTGGCCTTCATAGTCCTGTAGATTTACCTCACGGTTTACAGCCCTGCTGCACGACCCTTTGCAAGAGCGGATCTTGATGTCAATGTCCACCTAAAGACAGGAAGACAGAGAAATGAATTGTATCTATTGAAATCATTGTGCTACTGGTAGTTGGTTTACATTTTGGAAATGGCTTTTATTTCTTTGACTCTCAGAAAAATCAATCCTACCATGTGTCTTTCACTACTCAGGCTGTCCTCACTGGAAGCTGTGTACGGCCAGGGGCATTGTGCAGTGGGAGATATTTGGATCTATTTGAATCTATTTGGATCCATTTCAGAATTTGAATGGGGAACGAGAACCACTAATCCTGTTAGCCCTGGCTAAAGGGCCTCGGTGATGCTAAGGCCAAGGTCTCAGCATGTGGTGGGCAGACAGGTCACCCTTGAGCATATTCTGTTCAAATATACTATTTAGTCACCTTTCAAGAATTTCCTTCATATTTCTGGACTTCTGTCTTCTTCTCTAGGGTGGAGACACTTCTATATCAGGTGGATAATGGATTTAGAAGACACTCAGTAGATGGCTAGTGTCTTCCTTTTCCTTCTTTCTTAGTCAAAGACAGATTGGGGCCAGGGCCGCAGGCTTACCTCCAGACGCTTCATGTCTATCAGCTGAGCCCTGACATTTTTCTGCAGAACTTGAATCTGTTGTGCTTTCTCTATGACCTTGCGCTTCAAGGTCTCAATTCTGCGTCTCAGGTCTTCTGACACTTGCCCGAAAGTGTTATCAAAATCTGAAACAGAAAATGCAAGGTATTCAGGTACCTGTAGACTGATGTGCCCATAAAATCCAATCAATTATCAATCAATCAATCAATCAATCAATAAAGGAAAAAGGAAATTGCTTATAAGTATTTCTATACTTTATTCTACTATGCTTTGTTCTCTGGATGTATAATCTGCAAGTTTCCTGTTTAATTAGATTGTTCCACACAAGAGTCATCCACGGGTACTAATCACACTGCCCTAAAACATGACAAGGAATCCAAATAAATCCAGAAATTACTTGAGTGTTTGAAAACTGAGGTTAGAAGGTAAATAGTTCATTTTGTTGCATTTGATTATTTGATTGTAGCCTGATTTATAGGACTTGAATATATTATTGAGAAGTTTTTCTTTCTACCTGGAACTTTGAAATCCTTTCTAAGTGTTTTGGATGTTACCAGAATCCCTCACCTGCCAACTAGTGTTACACCATTGACATAAACTGTTCAGAGTCTCAGGGGACAGAATAAGGTAAACAAGGGCTCAAGAACTGGGACGTCAGTGGGCTTACTCTTCATCCCCAGAGCGACCACAGTGTGCCCTAGCCCCGTGAGTCCTGGGGGAGAAGATGTGAGTGACTCAGTGGAGTGTGGAGCTGACCTCTGTTTTGCGTCATTGAGAAGTGCCTTGACCTCTGAGACTCTCTGTAGGAAAGCAGCAGATTAGCTACTTGGAAGGTCCCCTTGTCTTTATTTTAAAAATACGGGACATTAAAAATCTAAGCTAATTTCTAACTTTGTGAAAATGACATCAGTCTCCTTAAATTTCAGTGATTTCCACACCGAGTGCTTTGAACTAAAACCACAGTATCTTCCAGGAGACATTATCATTGGGGACTTTTGTTGCCATCCTTGTTAGAAAGTTCAAGCACTAAATATGTCCCACTTACTGTTGGCATTAGCGAAGTCCCCTCTCAAATACTCCATGATATTCCTGGTCAGTGAGTTAGAATCCTTGTTGTTCTTTTGGAAATCAAATAGTGAGTTTTTGAGCTTGTTGATTCTGTTTGTAAAATCCTGATTGGTTTCGTCAATCAACCCTTTCATTCTGCAGCCTGAAGGGCATTTGTGGTTCTGAAAATGGAAAGGAAGATTGGATGAAAGGTCTGTCTCTCAGCTACCCGAAGTTTAGCATGTTAACACATCCTTGCTCTTTTGCCTCCCCAGCTCTTCCAAGTAACCACTGCCTCAAAGTAGTTAACCGGCCATAGGGGAATTCTGAAATGAAGATCTGCTTAGTCTTGCATGATGCTCTAGGAATTTTGTAGTCCCACGTCCCACTACTCAGGCATCCCACGTGTTTATCTCAGCAGAGACCTGATGTAACTAGACATTGTTCTTGGATTAGTTTCCATTTTTCTCCCTCTAATTTGGCAAGTAAGGGGCTAGGTTATTGTTAGATGGTCTCTGCTGGAGAAGGGTCTCCAGGACCCATTGAATATATATGTATGTGTGTGGGGGGGAGGATAAGGAAGAATCCCTGTTCCCCACGTCCTCTGCTTACCCAGTCATCATCAGAGCAGAAGGGCCAGTCTGTCTCCTTGCATTGACTCGGTTGTCTCTCCCCAACTCTTGGACCACGTACTGCTCCTCCTTCTTCTAAGAATTCACTTTTACCATCAGTGTCTGCCGTCTTTAATGGTTTTCAAACATTTAAAAAGGAGCAGAGTCAACAAAGTTAGCCAGCAGAAGAGACATTGTTATGCTCACAAGCCCGAAGGGAGAAATGGCAGACATTAAAAGCCAATGCTGCTGGCCTCCACAGGCTGCCAGTTTCTTACAGGCAAATGAAAGTTCTACTTATTCTATGGAGCCATTATGAGAAGAAAAGGAGATAAAGGGTGTGGACTTTTAAAACTGTATTTGATGCTAAGTAAGCGTCTGCTAGATGTTGGGGGTTTAAAAAAAATGATCGAGATTAACAGCGCCAGTTAAATTTCTCCTTTGTCTTTTCTTTTGTCACCATAGACAAGAAGATAGATGAAAAATTCTAGGTTTTTCCCCCCTAAAGTCCTCTTTCTGTGTGCAAAAACCTATGCCCTCTTGCACCCACACTCCTTTCTCCTTCAGGTTTCTATAGTAGTAACCTTTGGAGATGGTCCATGATCCAGACAAGTACTTATTCAGTACACACATGTGGGAAGTTAAAACTTGGCAGTGTTTTGTAGTACAATCATACAATTGTAGACTTTCATTTGAAATGAAAATAATAAACAGCTGAAGTGGTAGTCAGAAACCAGCAATTTTTGTAACACCTTGTAATTAGAAACCCAGAGCTAAAAGTTCTCAGCTATAAACCAAATGAAATACTTTTTTTTTTCCCCAGAAGACTTACTAGTCTAACGGCTGGAGATGGCTTTGAAGGCGTTCATCACCTCTGCTCTGCACTGCCAACTTACAGGGATCTTCCTGTCACTATGTTAGTTTGGGGTGGTTCATCCTTATAATTAGTCAACACAGTCTCATTCTCATTTGTGATAATTCAAATAATCTTAATTATTATAATTAAAGCAGTGAAGAACAATTCATTTAAAAGAACAAGTAGAATCCTTTTGTATGAGAAATATAATTATTAATTCAATTGTAGGAGTAAAATAGCACAACAATAAAGCAGACAGAAAGTGCACAAAATAATAAGAGGTAAGGAAGACAATAAAACTACTAATTATCCAGAAATATCGCTTCAGCTTGTTATTTTAATTCTCTTAAAATGTGTTATTCTTTACTCTGTGATATCAAGATTTTTGAATGGTTAGCAAAAAAAAAAAAAACCAACGAAAAACCAAAACAACAACAATAACAAAACACAAAAGACAGAAAACAAAAGCTACCAACAAAAACAACTGAAATAATATACAGCCTGGGTAACTAATTAGGATGTCACCTAGGTCCTTGGCCATAGTTGACATATTTTATAAATTAGAATGTTTCAGAAACTCCATTGATTTAAGTTTCTTTCTTTTGTTTGTCTTTGTAGCTAAATTTTGGAAATGATGTCAGTATTTAGAAGTTATCTTAAAAGAACACAAATCCTTCCTAAGAGCACACTACCTCATAACTAATTTCTTCGGAATTTGCTATATGTTTTCAAAGGCAATTAATGTGCCCTTTTCCTTTTATGTCTTCAAAAAGATATAAAAAGTACTTCTTAGGGCTGCTGGTGTAAAATGCTTGGTCAGCATGCAGGAAGTTCTGATTCAGTCCTCAACATTACAAACAAAGCCAAAACATTACAAATAAAACCAAAGCTAGAGGTAAGCCGTTCTAAACCCAAAACGTTCTGCTTGTTATAGACAAATATTTGAAATTACCAGCTGGAGAACCGTTCTTATCAAATGTTTTGTTCTGTTAGAATAATGTCTCCAGAGTTTAGAGGGACAAAGATGTGGGGGCATGCATAAGGCTGGAAATCTGTCAGTGTAGCTCATGTGCAGAGAGTTTTACTGACATGCCCAGTGGATCCCAACCTGTGGGTCATGATCCCTTTGGCAAACCTCTATCTCCAAAAATATTTATGATATGATTCATAAAAGTAACAAAATTAAAGTTAGGAAGTAGTAACAAAAATAATTTTATGGTTGCGGGTCATCACAACATGAGCCACCTCGTTTAAGGGTCACAGCATGAGGAATTCTATGCTGGATCAATCCCCACACCGTGAAAGTATACAAAGGAACACAGCTGCAGTGTTGAAAGACTGCATCTGAATTAGCCTGAATGAGAGATGTCAAGATCCCTTGTTCCTTTCGGGCCTCCCTCTGGAAATCACATTTCCACAGATACTTGTCAGGCTCACCTAGGAATTTGCCTCCCTGACCTGGCATTTATAAACCTAAGAACAAAGGTCTGGTAGATTCTGAAATCAAAACTCCTTATGGAAGAAATACCGAGAATGAGAGAAGAGAAAGCACATACCCAGACTGTGCTGGCCAGGCTCAGGATGAGGCAGGCGACTCTCAGGGAAAGCATGGTTTCTGCGTTTAGGGATGGCTCATGAGGAGCGCTGAAGCTGAAGGGAAGGAGGACTGACTCCACTCCCAGCTCCTACCCTACTTAAACCTGCAGGAGGCTAAGTTAATCATCACCCTTGGACTACTCAAAGAACCAAAGCTCACAGTGTGTCCTTTGCTCTGACCATAATAACCACTGTATCCCAGAAATTCTTGCTCAATTCTCTGTAGCCTTGTTTGTTTCCGATAAGTTGTTGCAAATGGTAGCATTCGATTGTGCAGCCAGCAGTTGGAGGGAAGATTCTACATTCCAGGAAATGGAGGCCTTTGAAGCTGCGAAGATGGACAGCCTTCGCACCGGAAGGAATTATGAGGGTATTCTGGCTATCGAGTCTGTGAAGCAGAGACATTTGACTATGTATAGGATTCAGAGTTCATCTGAATTTCAGAATGACCTGAAAGCCTACAATCAGCTTATATTAAACAGATTCTTTTCCTCCACTTTAAGGTCAAGACAGCAGCCTCTGGAGCCAAACACCAACATCCACAATCCTAGCTCCAGCTTCCTGGCTCTGTGCACTTATGAAGGTCAACTGTTCATCCCTGTGAATCAGTCTCTTCATTTAAAGAACTGGGGCAAAGACAACATCCTACACATGTTAGTAAACAAATGGGTGAGTTATTTCAAGGCCTTCAGAGGAGTGATTGTCATCACTGCCTGGGAGTAAGTGCTGGCCATAATTGGAGAAGTGCCAGGGAAAATGTGCTTTCTTTCCTCCTTGTGCCTTTGGGCCTGATCTCTCTTTATCTGTTCTTCATTTCCATGTACAACTCTTCGGGACTCAGTGAAACTTCTGTGTGACCCACCCACTTCTATTTTCCCCCAAAAAACCTAGCAGCTGGATTTTGAACAGAATATCGCTGCATTATTCACAATTACACACTATGGAAGCAGCCTAATTCAATGGATGAATGGATAAAGAAAAAGGGTAGATAACGAGAGATTACTGTTCAGCCTGTGAAAAGAAGAAAATCACACATTTGGGGCAGTATGCATGAGCCTAGAGGATATCATGCTAAGTGAAAGATGTTATTTCATTTCCACGTGAAGTCTTAAAGTGTGCAATTCAAGAGACTGGGACACAGTCGTGGTCACCAAGAGACGAGAAATGAGGGAAAGAGAAAGGAAGGAAAAAGAAGAAAAGGAAACGATAATCAAACGAGGTGATACATATGCTAATGAGCTCGAAGGGGTGGTTATTTCACATCAAACATAGAACTTTTACATCAGTCATGATTCAACAAAATGAAAGAAGCCTTTGACTTAAGTGTACTATATTTAGTAATAAAAACTGAGGATGACAAGTTAAATTTGAATCTCAGACAGACAACCAATATATCTTAGTGTATGTATGTCTTCTGCAATGTTTGGAATATACTTGTACTTTATAGTATGTATAAAATTCAAACTTAACAGGGTATTATGTTAACTGGCAACCAGTCCTACTTTATCTGAAATTCTGCTTGCTATGTGAAGCCACACCTGGTAACAACAGTGATAACCTTTACTGAGTGCTTACTGAGCACCCAAATATTTGCTAGACATTTTGCATGCTCCTGGTTTGATACCTAAAATAAATGTAGCCCCCTTTTCCTCTATGTTTTCTTAGATCAGGTATCACTTGTGGCATTTATCAGTGTATGGGGCATTATCTGTCTCTTCCACTAGATCAGAAACCTAAAAGTTGAAATATTTTACTTGTTTTTATAATCTCTGCAAAAGTTACAGCTTCTCATTGAACACGCTATCATGAGTACCATCCTCTGTTGCAAACGGAGCATCTCGGGCATTTGAAGCTTGCCACAGACAGAACAAAGCTCTCATCGAGGCCATGTCTATCTACTCTGAGGCAGGTTCCTCAGCTTTCTAAAGATGGCTTCAGAGCTACTGAGATTCCAGATAGCAGCAATTCCTAGGGAAGCTGGTAAGTATTCACCCACAGACACTGTATCAGTAAAATGCCAGGCATGGGCAGGAAACCCCCTCAAATGTTTTCCTAGGCCTGCAGGAAGTTTCATTTAGAAAATGAACATGGTAAAGCCAAGGCATCCCCAGAGAGTAATCTGGTAGGCTTCAGGTAAATGGACCTTTACTCTCCTGAAAGTTAGTTTACAGAGACAATTTGAAAGCCATCATTTCCAGGGATGTCACCTGAGGACCGTGCCCTCGATGTTCCATTGTCCTGTGGAGGGTCTACCTATCTCACTTCTTAATTCCATCCCAGCATCTGTTCAAAAGGAACCTCCTCCTCTTCCTCTGCTCCTTCCTCCTCTTCCTCCTCTTCCTCTGCTCCTTCCTCTTCCTTGTCCTCCCTCTCTTCCTTTTCCTCTTTCTCAGTGAGGCCATTTCTGACCATGTCACCTAAGAGAAGCAGCCCTCTCTTGTTTTTCTTCATGGTACTTTATCATACTAGACAACAGAGCAGCAGAGGGGAGAGTGATCTCAGACAGTTATAGCAGGATCCTCAGAAATGGCACCTTTTATTGTCCTAGATGGTCCAATAGCCTGTAACCAAAAGCTCCCCATTTTCTCTCTAGTGTTAGGATTCCTCAAATAGACACCCAGGTGGGCATCTTTGACCTGGTTCTTTATTGTGTGCCAGGGATGGTGTGTGTGTGTGTGTGTGTGTGTGTGTGTGTATGTGTGTGTCTTCATCCTGTGACACTTTCTGTATGCCATGAAACCCATGAAGTTTCATAGGCTATAGATAGCACAATAGGCATCATTTTCCAGAGGCATATGACAAAAAGGATGTTTTCCAACAGTAAAAGAATAAATCAATAAAATTTTAAGAAAATTTTTGAGGTATAATTTATAACTTGCTAATTAATGGCTTTTTCCCCTAGAAGTTTGTACTGTTTCCCTTAGCCTGAGGGAGATATTTGACTTAGATATCCTTTTGTACCTGACATCATTCTAGCAATTACAAATAATCACAACCAAGAATTCACACATTTGACAGGAATTCATATCCAGCATCACAAAATTCTATATAAATATGTACCTTTACTTTTTCCTAATAACAAGAAGTATTGATACTTCACCAGGAAATTCTTAGCTAAAACGACAATCAAATGCATAGCTGGGAAGAACAAAACAACTTTCTAATTTTTGGACTTGCTGTAGACAGGAGATTTTGGCTTTGTATAGGACCTTTGCCTGAGTTTTGCAATAGTGGTCGGTCTACTTTAAATTCACTCTAGTAAGGATTTACTTTAAGAATTTACACTGTCAGCAGTATCTAGCTTCATGTATGCTGCCTCCTGTATTCCTCAGCTAGTACAGATGTTTAGTTTTGTCTAGCTATTTACTAAGAAAGGCCAATGAGACTAAGATGATCCACGTAGGAGGGATAACCAAACATTTGTTTTAGAACCTGTCAATGTTCTGACTCCAGATGATTTTCTTGAAAGTTACAACTATACTAAGGAAGTGGGCTTTCCTTAACCACAGAAAAAATCATGAATCACAGTTAGAAAAGTGGGGAGATCTAATGGGTTGTTTTCACTTGTTTGTCTTAATAGTGCTTGATTCTCTTGCCCTACATTTTATTTTTATTTTTTTGATTTGTTTGTTTTGTTTTGGGCAGCGGGGAGGGAAGGGTTTATTCAGCTTACACTTCCACATTGCTGTTCATCACCAAAGGAAGTCAGGGTTGGAACTCAAGCAGGTCAAGAAGCAGGAGCTGACGCAGAGGCCATGGAGGGATGTTACTTACTGGCTTGCTCAGCTTTCTTTCTTTGTTTCTTTATTTTTTGATTTTTTTTTGTTTCTTTCTGTCTCTTTGTTTGTCTTTTATTTATTTATATTTTTACACTCCAGATTTTATTCTTCCCTTCCCCTACATTTGTTTTTAATATTCTCAATTAGGAAATAACTCTACAATATTTCTTAAAATGGAACTCTCTCCAGATTAATGGGTATTGGCATGAATAATATTCAGAGATTTTAGAACTTAGTACCATCGTAAGGAGGAGGAGGGAGCTGTTGTAGATTGAATCTAGGCCTTTGATTCACTTGATTTTGATGCTGTTTTGTTTGCTTTTTTGAGTCAGTGTCTATATAGCCCTGGCTGTCCTGAACTTCACTATGTAGACCAGGCTGGCCTCAAACTCATAGAGATCCAATTTTCTGCCTTTTGAGAACTGGGACCAAAGGTATGTCTCACCATGCCTGGTTGACTGTGTTTGGCTCAGTATTTTGAGACAGGTTCTCACTGTGTGGCTGAGGTACAGGCTGCTCTTGAATTTAGGATCCGCCTGCCTTAACCTTCTTAAATTGGAAACTATGGAATTGCTGCTTTACATCACTGCTGGCTTTTGGTCATATTCATTCCAACCCTCCCCCCCCAACTCAGGTTAGTGCCAATGGTCTTTTACTCTTTCAGTAAAGTTCCCAATGAGTAGTTATGAGTGTGCATGTGTGTTACAAGGGTTGAGGGGATATGCAAAAATGAGCCCCTGAGTTTTCTGTTTAACTGTATTATTAATGAAATAATTAGCTATAATATACTTTCTTCAGGTTTACCACTTTTTTTTACATCTGATATGCATGAAAGCATAAATACAATGACATAGCTAGAAAGATGGCTCAGTGGTTAAAAGCACTCATTGGTTGCTCCTCTGGAGGACCTGGTTTTGATTCCAAGTACACACATGGTAGTTTACAAGAGTTCTAAACTCTAGCCCCCTTTGACATGATGCCCTCTTAAGGCTTCCATGGATGTTGCATGCATGTGGTGCCCAGGCATATATGAAAGTTAAATACCATACAGATAAAATAAAAATAAAGGTAAAAAGTGCAGCCATCCATATGAATGTTGGTGTATTTATTCAGACAACATGGCTTCATTCTTAGCGTTCATCCTAAGTGTCTAATAGTTAGCACAGTCTTCTGCTAGTTTCACAGGGATAGCAATTGTGAACACGTTCCATTGAAATTGGAGAATTGGTATCTACAAGGCACTTAGCATTTTCCAAGCAAGGGATTACCTGCAAAGGACAAGGAGGCTAATTGTCAAGGTCTATTGCATTCTGCTTGTTGCGTGGTATTGGGGTCAGCCTAGCATACTCGAAATACAGGTTCTACTGGGAAGGTAAGGCCTCAGTCAGGGACTCAGTTTTAAAGGACACTTGACTTGGTTTCACCATTGTAAAAATGACGCATTTAGATAAATATTCAACAGCAGCAACAAAAGTACTGAGAAAACCAACAGAGAAATGAATGCACATGGTAGGACATTTTCTAAAATTCCTGACCAGGACACAAAAATAGATGCCTCTAAATTGAAAACAAAAGTCTTAAGTCTAAAGAGCAAAAGTGAAGTGCTACCCTGTGGGATCAGCAGGTGTGGTGGCACACACAGGTGGGGTGGACACTGGATGAGTAGGTTATCCTTGCCCACATAGTAAGTTTGAAGCCAGCCTAGGCTACATGAGTATCATATACAACGTGACTCAAAAAAAGTAATGTTCTAAATTTATACTTCCAGATTATCAGATTCAAAGCCATGAGGATTATTCATCTTCCCAGCAAGAATCAACTCAAATTTGTCATTGTTGTTGGAACAATTTTCTACATTCTCTCATGTCATGTGACCCTCACCACAGCTTTGCAATACAAACAAAACAAACACGAAGAAAGATATCTCCAGTCCGAAGTCTCCTCAATGTTAGCTCTCTTCTTTTTTCTTGTGACAGTTTAACTATGTGTCCTGGATAATTCCAGAGTGGAATCTGCCCTGCCATGTTTATTTAAGGAGAGTCAACATTCAGACTTATGGAGTCCCCTCCACTTGCCAGTAAGAGAAACTCTAGTGTTGACCTGCTAGGTAGGAGCGAGTGCCAAAGACCCGGTGTCTAGCTTTGAGAGACGCAACAGTGACCCAGTTAGATTTGAGTGAATGCCGTAAGCCTGACCTTAACTCGATCTCTGCCTTCGGTGCTTCCCAGTGAAACTAAAGTGAACAAGTTTTACTCTGTGCCAGCAGCCTTCCCAGAAGGCTGTACTGATAGCTCCAACGAGTGGGTCTGTGACATTTCACAACGATCCAATCATGGCTGCAGTGCCATTGAACCAAAGCTTGTGCTCACAAAGCCAGTAAGTATTCATTTGTATTTAGCCTGTTTTTCACCCCTTCTTAAAGGAAATAACAATCAACAGGCCTCTGCGGTATAAATCATGCTGGAGCGTGGTTATGAGCTGCGTTCATTCTGTGGAATAGACTAATTCAGTGACAGTGCTCTCCCTCAAAAGAATCTGCAGAACTTTGCCTTCCCCCAAATCAAGATCATCAAGGCTATGTTCTCAGACCACACTAAATTTTGGCATTTAAATACTAAATTTGTAAATTAAATTTAAAATATTTGAAAAATTCTAAGTTTGGAAGTAAATACCATCCACATTATAACTCTTGGACTCAAAGAGGGAAATTATAAAGATTTCAAGTTGGAGAAAGGTCTCCAAATAACAACAAAGTTACCGGACAAGGGGTGTAGCTGATGGGTTGAGCTTTCTTAGAATAGATGAGGTGCTGGGCTGAATGTTCATACCACCAGATAGAAAAGAGGAAGAGAAGGGGCATGGGGAAGAAAGAAGAAAGTAACAGAAATGAAGATTTCAGAGACTCTCAAACTGTTTGTGAAGAAGAACCATTTCTTATTAAAGTTCTACTCAGTTATAGATGTATTATAAAATCCAGTAAGATTAAAAACAAAACTACATGAAACAGCTTGGTGTGGTGGCACATGCCTTACAACCCAGCACTCGATGGGCAGAAGCAGGTGGATCTCTGAGTTTGAGTTCAGTCTGGTCTATGGGGGTGAGTTTCAGGACATCCAGGGCAACACAGTGTAACCTGGTCTGAAGCAAATAAATAGCAAATGAAACACGAAAACCAACCATCCAAGCAAGCAAACAAACAAACAAACAAGCAACATAAAACACAGGCCCCAATTTTTATTAGATTCAAAAGACAAAAGCATTTCACTTCAATAAATATCAGCTAAGCAAATATAATGCAGACAGAGGTTTAAAAATGATAGTCTTCAATTTTTGAATTTAATAAAGACTAGTAACAGATAAGTTGAGGCCCAGTCTCTTAAGTAGCACTGATTTGTAGAAAAAATTTCATTGTTAACTTAAAACAATATATACATACATTCTAAGGTAAGCTAAAAAGCAAGTAAATAAAGTAGCAGTTGTTAAACTTGCCATAAAGACTGCCCACTAAGGGGAAGGTGGGAAAGGACCTCTGAATAAGTAATAATCAGTAATTCTAGAGACGGATCCAGCAAAGACCAAATGGAACGATGTGCTCGGGATGCAAGTGTCTTCAGCTTCCACCTCACACGGTGAGCACATCCACACGGAGGGGAATGAAGTGGAGTCCTCTCACTCAGTGCTCCCCGTTCACTTCAACTATCTTGCTATCTTACACTGTCACCTCACTCTCCTCTACTTTTTAAATCCTTGACTCCTGAGTTTCTCTTCTCTCTCTCTTTCTTTCTTTCTTTCTTTCTTTCTTTCTTTCTTTCTTTCTTTCTTTCTTTCTTTCTGCCTGCCTATCTGTTGTTTGTCTCTGTCTCTCTCCATCTGTCTCTGCCTTTCTGTCTCTGTCTGTCTCTGTCTCTCATCTAAGTGAGGGTAATGTCTATGTGCTGTGGTGTATGTGTGGAGATCACAGGACAACCTCTGGTGCTCATCCTCACTCCCATGTTATTTGAGACAGAATCTCATACACCCGGCTGGCTGGCCAGTGAGCACCCTGAGATTCTTCTGTCTGTGTCTTTTACCTCTCCATTGTCCAACAGGTATGACCCACTGAGTCTGGCTGGGCGTTGGTTCTGGGATTGCAGACAGCAAATGTTTTGTCCATTGAGCCATCAGCTGGGGAACACAGACAGTGCTCTGCCTATTGAATCATCAGCCAGCCTGTCTCATTCTTCTTGGGCTTCATCATGGTAATTAGAAGCTGTTAATAGACATTCTACCTACGGTTTAATGCGTCCTTATGTTTTTCAGATTTAGCATCTGAACAAACAATGGTATCTACTACAAAAATACTTTTGTTAGTTTTTACTAATTTGAGTCAGAGTGAAAGAATTTAAGCTCTTGTGAAACTTGATTTCTCCCTTCTCCTCTTTCTCCTCTTTTTTTCTCCTTTTCTCTCTCTCACCCCACTCTTTTTTCCCCTTGACATTTTTTTTTTGGATACAGTGTTCTATATTATAGCCCAGGCTGGTCTTGAACTCATGATCTCCCTGTCTTAGACATCTCCAAGTGCTAAGATTATAAATATAGGTCACCACACTTGGCTAGTTATAACTTTTTAGTTCACACCCACAGTCTTGAAATTGCCCATAAATTACAGCCACAGTAAAGGACTGGGGAAAGATATAGCACCTCATAGGTATATGTAAAACTACAGCATTTGGCCAATAAGTCATTACTCTTGCCTGTGAACACAAGTCATCTTCTTTATAGTTGTATAGCTTGAAGTCTTGGAACCGGAACTTGTGTGTGTGTGTGTGTGTGTGTGTGTGTGTGTGTGTGTGTGTGCTGGGGACTGAGCCCAGGTTGTCACACATGATACTGAGAGTTCACTGTTCTGCATGTAGTTTTGCTTTCCCTTTTGGAAGCTTCCTGCTGTAGCTAAGAGGTGGAACCTTGGGTGCACACTTGGCATTTAACCCCTATTTTGAAGCTTTCCAGTGTTTGCCACAATAAAGGAAAGAGGTGAGCACTAACTGTCAGTGATTCTGAGCTGTGGAGGGAACCTGCTTGTCTGTTCAAGTCCCCAAGCTCTGAACTTCACTTTAAAAGTTGCATTGTTGGTTTATCAGGAAAGTGCTTAATCTTGTCTATTTCTTGCAGAGGCATGGTCTATTTGAGTCTGGAAGTATGTTTCATGCCTTATTTCCAAAACTGTAACCTTCAAGATTTACCTGTAGGTATTAATAACCAAACAGGTATAAATTTGAAGTTAACCCATTTTTTGTAACTCAATGAATTTCAAAATTAATCACAAAATTAATATGAGCCAATAATTGCAATGATGTCTCTACAGAATATTTTATTTTTTAAGTGAGGGGTCGTAAAAATCAGAAAATGAGGGAGTTTGAAAAGAAATTGTGGAAAGTAAGGTGTTCTAAATCAAAGCTGAGGGCTTTGTCACAAGCTGATCTTTTCTTTCTTCCTTTATCTTTTTAATTTATTTTACATCCAACCACAGTTTCCCCCCCCCCCCCCGTCCCACCCCCACACTTCCCGTTCCCTACCCCAGCCACTCCTCCTTCTTTTCTTGTTAGAAAGGGGCTGGCCTAATGGCTATCAACCAGTCATGGCATATCAAGTTGCAGTAAGACTAGGTACCTCCTTTCTATGACAGCTGCACCCAAAGGCAGGCAACTAGTCAGAGACTAGGCCGTTAGGTGTCCCACCCTAACAGAGGGTGCAGAGGGCCTAGGTCAGTCCCATGTAGACTTCCTGGTTCGTCGTTCAGTCTCTGTGAGTACTTATGAGCCCAGGTTAGTTGATTCTGTAGGTTTCGTGTCCTTAACCCCTTTGGTTCCTATAATCCTTCCTTCCCCTTTTCAGTGGGACTCCCTGAGCTCCACCTAATGTTTGACTGTGGGTCTCTGCGTCTGTTTCCATCATTTGCTGAGTGTAGTATTGTTGTGTTAATTATTTAAATCTGGCCTCTGGTTCATCCAACTATCTAAGCTGCAGCGGGTCTGTGTAGTCCAGCTGCCATGTTTCTCAGCCTGAGGCCACATACGCACTGCAGCTAGAACCAGCTGCCAGAAACACCAGCCCTGCCACCCACTAGATGCCAGAGATGGCTCTGCCAATCTTTCAAGCTGTCTCTGCAAGGCAGGGCATTGTCCAGACCATTCCGCCATCCATGTGGGCCCAGTAAGAGAACGAGACTCTAATTCTTATAGATTAATCAAAGGCTTTATATGCTTGATAATGATTAGTAACAAGATGCCCATACAAAGAGAGTTGTATCCCAATTAGCTAACTTAATTATAAGTTTATGAGTTGTTCTCCACGAGTGCTCTCCATACCTGTGTGGTTCTCCATCCTCCTTCATCTCTGCCCCCCTCTCTCTTAGCTCCTCCTTTTTCTTTTCCTCTTCTCCTTACTCCTCCTCTTCCTCTCCTAACTCCTCCCACCTTAGTTCCTCCTACATAGTATCTCTGATGACAACTGGGCTATGCACAAATCTAAGAGAGTAGCAGACTATCATTAGGAATATTCCATTGACTTTGCAACTACTAGTACTGCTACTGCTACTACTATTACTACTACTAGACATTCATGTTTGGTTCTATCCTAGGTCTCTGGATATCCAGCCTGTGGGTCCTAGCCCTCCAGACAATTTGAGGCGTGGGGTCCCTTTCATGGCATAGGTCTCAAGATGGACCAGTCATTAGTTGGCCACTCTCAGAATATCTGCACCACCTTTACCTCAGCAAATCTTGTAGGCAGGACAAATTGTAGGTTGAATGTTTTGTGGCTGGGTTGTTCTCCCATTCCCTCCACTAGAAGTCTTGCTTGGTTACAGAAGATGGTGGGTTCAATTCCTGGGAGTTTCCATTCCCTTAGTTTTTAGCTCGTCCCAGAGATGCCACTCCTGATTCCAGGTGTGGTTCCCAGTACTCTCTTCCACTATCTTCCCAACACCCAATCCATCCTCTTCCCATCCCCACCACCCACCCCATCCAGTCTCCTCTCCCTATCCACCTGTGATGTCTATTCAGTTCCCCCTTCTCAGTGAGATTCATATGTCCCCCTTTGAACTCTTCTTGTTACTTATTTTCTTTGGGTCTGTGGCTAAAGCCCCGGCATATACCCAAAGGGTATTCCACCATCCCACAAGGATACTTGATCAACTATACTCATAACAGCTTTTTATTTGTAATAGCCAGAAACTGGAAACAACTTAGATGTCCCTCAACCAAAGAATAATTTTTTTTAAAAGTGATACATTCACACAATGGAGCATTACTTAGCTATTGAAAACAATGTCATCATAAAATCTGCTGGCAAATGGTGGAACTGGAAAAGATCATCCCGAGTGCAGTAACCCAGACCCAGAAAGACAACATAACATGTAATCACGTAGAAGTCTATGTTAGCCATAAAAGATAAAGGATACTTTCTCAATAAAATGAATCAAGCTCTTAGCATAATAACTTGATGCATGTTTTCCTAGTCTTAGCTGATCCCTAAAAGTATGTGCTACCTAAGTCAAGACCCTGGGATCTCAATAATTCCCACTTAGAGCAAGTAATTGGTTCCTTCTGTTCACCCAGGAAATGAGCAGATTGTCCCTCAGTTCTGCTCTAAATATCAGTTCTATGTGATACACTGGCTACAGGTGCTTGGTGTTGAAGGTTCTTCTAGAAGGATCTCCCAATGCATACTTTAGCACTGTGTACTCAGCCTATGATATGCCTTAGCTATATGCTTGGGGCTTTGTGACTTGTGTTTATGCTCTTACATCGAATGTTGTCACTTTAGTTTGTTGCATCGCTCACCCTAAGCTACTGTATTCTGGGTGTTTCATACCCCTTGGAGGGTAAGAGCCATGTATTTTCTTTCCCTTCAACTCCCCTTGCCTTGGATCCTATGTAGCCATAACATATGAACTCCACAACTAACAGTTGCAATGCTTTCCAAGGTTTTTCAAAACAAACAAACAAACAAACATACAAACAAAA